AACAAATTTTATAAATAATTGTGAAAAAAATTATCACTTTAATGGACAATTTTCATGTAAAACAAAGTTAAACAAACACAAAATTTTAAAATTTTTCGAGTGGAAAATTATACCAATCAAACACACTTAATTAACAATTTCTTGCAAAACATTTCATAAGCCATTATTTTTCCTGAAATTCTTTTTTTCCACCTATTTTCCACTTTTGCAATAAAACGCACCATTATATTTTGAATGTCAATTGTTCAATATAGCCCCTGATTGGTGGCCTCTCACTTAATTTACTATACTTTCATTTACCTTATAAACTCATTTTTAATAATATATTTATACAATAAAATATTCTACACGTAACTCTTTTACACGCCACCAACATGGGCACAGTGTCGCACTGTCGCGTGATTTAGTGCCAGACATGATCCATTGATTGTACTTTATAGGGTGGCAAATGGCCATCAATTTGTTCCTTCGCATCATGCACCCAAAAAATAAAAAGTAAAAAAATAAAATTATTCCTTCACATGGAAGGAAAAGAAAAAGAAGTACGGCAATGAGTACTATAGCTTAAAGTCATTTTGGAAAGTGTACTCTTTTACGTCTCACCCTCCAACTTTTGCTTCATTCATTTTTGACCAATCATTTTTTTGGGTTCCTTAAACATGGAATCAAGAAATTCATCCAAGGAATATGCCAATAATATACCCCTAGCATCAAGAAACAGGTAATGGGATATTGGGATTCTTGATAGTTGATAGCAACCCAACCCCCTTCATTCCATTTTTTTTTTCATTTTCATTTCTCAAGATTTCAAAAACTTGAAAAGTGAAAAACACGAGAAATTTCAATTTCAAGCGTAAAGTACATCATTCTTACAATAGAGTACAACATCCTTAACCCCCTCAAACTGAGGATTCCAAAACCCAGAAAAAGGCATGAAAATAGAGGGGATTTTCAACCTTCTCATGTACATAACTGCACTCGTTTATTTTTCATTTACGCACATATATATATACAATCTCTTCTTCTACTACCAGAGAAGGTAAGCCCCTCAGAGGAAAAAAGGGATGGCATTGGCTTCTCTTACACAACAAAAAGGGAAAAAGCACGAGGGGGTAGCCTTCGACCCCAAAGGCTACTCCTTTAGTAGGATCCACTCTACAATACTTGACAATATTGACAATCTTACAGACCGTACTGCATCTCGAACATTCTTCTTCTTTCACCATCCTTGATGGGATGGTGTATGTACACCAGCAGCTATTTGAAATTGTCGTGTTTCAGGTCTGATCAGAAACTGATCTGGTGTCTCCTCCACTAATGATCCATGGATGTCCTGCATATTCCAACCAAAATTATATCAGACACTAAATTAAACTCAATTCTTTTTAATTTTCTTGGGAAACAGTGTGAAAGACAGATCGAGACCAGATTTTGTGAATTTCTCAACAAAAGAAAAACAGAGCAGAAAAAACACGAGAGGGAAAAATACTAACTCAGGACTTGATCGGCAGACAGTCGCCGGGAAACATCCCGGCAAATCATTTTCCTCAACAGATCCTTGGCATCCGGCGAAATCGACCGGAAAATCCTAGATGGAAACCTCAAATTACCCCTCAAAACCGCCTCGAAAGTCTCGGCCGGCCCCTCCCCATAGAAGGGCGGCACCCCACTAAGCATGATGTACAAAATCACTCCGGCACTCCATACATCCACCTTCTCATTGTACTCTCTCCCCATCAGCACCTCAGGGGCAACGTAGTACGGTGTCCCCACTACCCCTGTCATAAGCCCCTCCTCGGAAACACCAAACCACTCAGCGGATCCAAAATCCGCCAGCTTCAACCGGCCGGCAGAATCAAACAAAATATTATCCGGCTTGATGTCTCTATGGGAAATCCCCAAGCGATGACAACAACTAATAGCAATCATCAACTGCTTCAAAACCGCCGCCGCCTCCTGTTCAGTAAACGGCGTTCCCAACGAAACCCGGTCGTACAAATCACCTCCGTCGCACAAATCCGTCACGATATGCAGATAATCATCATCTTCATAGATCTCGTACAGCTGAAGGATATTGGGACAGCCAGAAAGGAGCTGAAGAATCTTGGGCTCCTTGTCTAGGCACTGACGGTCGATGGAGTCGTCGGAAAGGGAATTCTTGTGTATGGATTTGCAGGCAAAAGACTCGCCAGAAAAATGAGAGAAGCAGCGGTAGACTACGCCGAATCTACCACGGCCAAGCTCTTCGCACAGTTGGTAGTCGCTCTTTAGGCTATCGCACATGATACGATATGTTAACTTGTTGGGTTTTGCTTAGGGGAGTGGGTTTGGAAGGTTTGGGTTTATTTATAAGAGAAAGCTGGACTGGAGCCACTCTATCTCCATGGGGTTGAGGTGGCAATTTCTTGATGTCAAAATATAACCTATAACTAAACGAGTAAAAGCAACATATTTAATATTTTATTATTTGCCTCTCTTTCAAATAAAACTCTTTAATTTTCATACGTATTTTCAATCACACATTTAAATAAT